TAGATCTTCTTCGTCTGACGGATGGCATTTAGCTTTTTCCCAATCCGGTGTCCGACTGAACTTCTCAATAAAACTACCCGGGTAACTAGTCTCGGTAACAATTGATTGGTGTTTGTCTCAGTCTGCTTGGAAGCTATCTTCGGTAAAGATGCAACTTGTTCGATGGTCTGGCGTTTGGCGCTGACCAGCCCAGGTACTGTTGCAGTAGACAGTCCTATGAACCGTTTTGTCATACATCCATATCATTAGAATGTGAGGCAATTGTCTTGTTTCTCTTCCAAAGAGAAATGTAGGTTTTTCTGCTCACGACTTCAACGGAAACAATCACTTGTTGTCGATCTTGTCTCAAGGGGCTTCATAGGACCACTCCATCTAGTTGTCGGTAAGCTTTCCGTTGGAAACTGAAGCGGGCGTCCATCGGAGGAGCTTCGGGCAACTTTTAGCTTATGTTGCTCATACAGCAAAAATCATACTGTCAAACTGTATTATTTCTCCAGTTCGACTGAGCAATAGGCATATTCTATAAGCACATTGACTAGCAATTACGTGTTCGGAATCGGTTCAGGGACGGGAGTTTTGGATTCCCAAAGCAAGAGGTCGAGTTCACATCCTCCCCGACGGGAGCAATAGCCCCGGGATCAACTATACGCCATTCTTGATGTCTGTGAATTATCAAACATCAGTGCAGCTCAATTGGTGTTTCATATCAAATGCAGTCAAACCACGTAGTTGATGTGGCTATCAAAACTTACCACCCCCTCAACTCGCCCAAAAAATTCGTAATAACACTTGGTCTCTTATGTGCACCAGTACACTGGATACACTCACTTGTTCGCCTGCCCGCCCGCCCCATAAAGATCTGAACTAATTGCTCCAATTGTTCTTTAAAATCTTATGTTGAAATTGTGAAAAGTTCAGTACCTCCGGTGGGATTCGAACGCGAATGAATGGACACAGCCTACACTGAGCTACGAGAGACCACATCGATAGCTCTGATGTTTTCACATTTACACCACCCATCCAACTTACTTGGATGCTGCATCTTTTCTGTTTCACTTCATCTGCAAGTCCCTCAACGCGAAAGTCGGCTAGGTTCACTCTGTATTTCTTCCGCTTTTGACTCGGTGCCCCGTTCGTTTTTTTACTTAACAAGCTCCAATTGTTTGGTTTTTCAACTTCTCTTCTTGAATGGTATGGTGATTATGTTTCGCAAACATATCAGTATGTTAGATTATGAAGAAGACACAGTCCGCGGCATCACTCAATAGTTCAGGTGTACTCAACTTACTGTCTTATCACCCTATCTTTTTGCGTCTTATATCAGTGAATTACCCATTACTCTCCCGGTGCGACATTTTAAGTATGCTGATAATATCGCCATTTCCGTATCTAATCCAATCAGAACTGGTTGAATATAACTCAAATCTATCCCACCTCGTTACAGATTCCCTTTTATCTCGTCCTATTCATAATCCCGAATAAAACCTTGAATGTATTTTTACTTTAAACCGTACCCCATCTCCTTCTGACAATGTACAGATTCATGTAAAGCCGATGAGTGGGGTCAGTCAGGTGAAATACTTAGGTGTCACACTTGAAAGTAACATTCGCTGGTCCCGGCATACTCAAAGTGTTGCTCGCAATTTGAAAGTTCTCTGTTTTCAAAGCTGTTCTGATTTGTCGATGATAGACGCTTTCGTTCAACACTGTGCCCTCTCTATACCCCATAACTGCTCTCCTGTAATTTCCCCCGATTTGTTGAAGGCTGGTTACCAGTTGCTGAGGTGTGGCCTCTCAATGATCAGCCGTGTCTCCCAAGTTCCTTTATCTGTTCTGATTGGCAATATGTGTAATACCCATAATATTGATGCGTATTTGAAGTTTGCTGACAATATCCTATCTGATTGCACCCATCCTCTACACAGTGACTTGTGTGCATGCAAATCCCATTCCTCCATCCGTTTCGAAGTAATAATTTATCCTGCCTCGCATATCCGCATACAGAAACTCTTTGGCACTCAACCTTGTCCGGATACTGAGCGACAAAGAAAGTGTTTGTTCTCAGTTTTCTAATGAAGTTTGTAGTTAGTTCATAGTTTTTGCACGTTTGACACCTCATTGTTTTCCCCTTTTTAACCAGAATTGTAATGGTGGTCTATTTTTGGCTGAAAGTTTGCATATAACTTGCTAACGCTTCAATAGAATACAATACCTCATGAAGTTTTCTCATACAACCTCAGGATATAACTTGGCATTAACCAGTGAATGAACAAACCACCGAAAACGAGCACGGACGCTACCGTGGTTTTCTTTCAATTCGTGATGATCGTATATTCGGACAATTTGTCATATTTTTGTATCATCGATCAGCCTACTTATATGTGCTCTTTACCTTTTTCGGGTCATCCCCAATGGGATGAGAATAGGGTTGCACTGGGGGAGGGAGGTGTGGTCAGGCCAAAGAACATTGCGTCAACGATAGGGGACAATTGAGAGAAAACTGAATAATGACGGAAAAACCTGGGGGGGGGGGCTTTTATTTTTCGCACATTATTGAACGTATTCAGTATCATTTATATCGTTTGTTTGCCGGGATCGGTTTTGAGTGAATGTCAATTTCCAAACGAAAATGCTCACTGACTGTACGGATTTTTGCCAAATTTTTCATTCTTTTGACATTTGAACATCCCCGAGGTTTGTTTAAAATGAAAGTTAAACATCCACTGTCTTGATTTACGCGGAATGGTGACCGCATGTTTTTGACACGATCAACTTCATTGCAAATTGATCTGCTTGACTTTGTTTATAAGCTGATCAAAAGCGTGGTCAGATTATATAAATTTAATCTTATAATTCATTTACTTAGGTGCAAAATATTTCTATTCTACTGCTGTCCCTCTTGCAATCGATTGAAAGACAAGTAAGTAACGGGCAAATTGGAAAATCTCTTTCATGTTCTCATCACAAACGGATCTGCCGTTCATCGTTTTACCTCACTTTTATCAAACCGGTCTCGTACAAAAGTCCATAGAAATTCAAGAAAATTCCGCAAAATTTACGAAATATGGCCATATTTTTAAATTGTCTTAACAATGTGTTATAAAAGCTATATATTACGGGAATGGGCCAAGTTTAAATAAACCAGCTGATGGGCACAACAATAGAATGAACATGTTAGAGAGCGTCGAGTTTTTAGCAGTGTCAGATTGAGGAGGAAAATAATTTGCTGTCCAATCACATACAGATCAATGCGTTTTGTCATAAGTGCCTGATCCTTTGTAATTTCCCACATAGCCCGAATTGTCTTGATGATCTGTTCGGCCCTCCAGACCTTTGCCTTTGCCAGTCTCTGCATCAAATCGATTCTTGTGACTGCCCGTGTATCCGCTCACATCGGTCAATGCTTGAGTGGCACGATCGTTACTCACACTGGTTGTCCCATGCATTTTCGGACTGCCCGCCTTGATTTTCTCAATCAAATCAGCGACAGCCTTATCTTGTGTACAACCTTTGGCGCGAGCATATTCTTGGCTCAGCGGACCTTCTACGAACTGCTTGAACGAGGCAAAATCCATTTCTTTTACATTGTTCCCCATGTGCTTTTTGAATGCAATATCGACCGAGTTGGAGTCTAGTTTGCCGCCACAAATTTTGCAATCCAGGCATATTTTGCGAATTGTTTTGTCCGTGGCGGTTTTTGCACCTTTCTTAGTTTTGTCACAGAACTCGAGAAAGATTTCGTGGATTGAGTCCATATTGTCCCCGGAAGAAAGAATGTTTGCGTTACCAGGTGTGATACAACGATAAGTGTGAGGCTTTTGCTTCAAATAAATCTGGTCTACCCTTTCGTGCGCGCGCATATGTGTGTGTGCGAGCGCGGATTTCACAAATAAATCAATTATTGGTCAGTTTCTGATTGGTCCAAATCATTAGAGTACAAAAATAGATTTAGTTTTCTCCTAAGCGATTGGGTCATTTTAGTACCATTTTCACCAGTACCGTTCGAATAGACTACCCATATTTTCTTTGTTACTTTATTAATAATAATATTCTTAGTAGTATTAGCATATATAATGGTTGCTCAAAATGCCAACTGTAGAGCAGTCTGACCGGTGGCTTATCCTAATAGTTGTTTTATAATATTAGTCGAAAATTTATTACGCTTGTGTGTGTGTGTGTGCTGATCTCATCGGTGTTGGCAATTAACTCTGATCAGTGTTTGGAATGCGAACGTACTCCGGGGTCTCGCAGCGCAATGGACTGGGCAGAGAAGCGCGACAAAATATCCCTCGGCTCGTATTCTTGCAACTGGAGACGATACAAGGCTTTGTGGGTGACGAACGACGGCGGAGGAACAGTGGTAGGGTGGCGAGTCGGCAGGGACACGTGGTGACGAGGAAACACTGGCAGTCAGGCCCTCTTTTTTCGATGTTAAAGATAAACCTGCAAGGTAAATAAAATAAAATAAATAAATAAATAAAGTAAATAAAATCCCATGAACAATACGGTTCAGTTAGATGCAAGCATTGGAGCATTGGAGATAAAATACTATAGGTGCCAAGAATTCCACAAATAAAGCTGCATTACTATTCAACAAATAAATAATTGCGCCACAAGCAGAAAGATGGTTCAGAGCTAGGCTAGTAGATCTTGCTCGTCAGCTAAGGGTAACAAAATCCTGTCATAACTCCATCCTAACACGAGACCATATGAAATCCCTAAAAGAGTTGAGAAATAATGAGACCGTTGTGCTCTGCCCACCGGACAAGGGATATGGAGTAGCCATTATTAACAAGGGTGAATACGTGAGCAAAATGGAGACTATTTTCAGTGATGGTGACCGATTCCAAGTGGATCCAAAGAGGAAGGACAATACTGAGGTGACAGAGAAAAGGATCAGTGCCTACTTGAAACAGCTTTGGAAAAGTGGAGTGATTACTACTAGTACGTTAAATGATCTGAGACCTCGTGGAACACGAATACCACATAGTTATGGTTTACCAAAGCTCCATAAACCAGGAGTTCCTTTGCGCCCGATTCTGTCAATGATCAACTCGCCTCAACACAGATTAGCTCAGTGGTTGGCCAAACAGATCAGTCCCATTCGTAGGGAAATTTCCCATTTCGGGTTAAAAGGTTCTTTCCAGTTGAAGAATACATTACAGGATATTGATTATCGCCAATGTTTCCTTGCTTCTTATGATGTTGCTTCGCTATTCACTAACGTACCAATGACGGAAGCCGTGGAGGAATTTTGTAAATATGCCAGTGAAATTGGATTTGAGGCAACTGAATTGAGAGCCCTATTGAAATTGTGTTTTTGTGG